TTACTTCAGCTCTGCATCTTCTTTTCATTTTTAATGGAAAATAATAATAATAATACCTACCTCATAGCTTTGTTGTGAGGATTAAATGAGTTAATACACATAACAGCTTGCCTGGCATCTAAAACTTCTCAATAAATATTATTATCGCTAATATTTTTTTATCATTAGTATGGGCTAGGCACTCTGCAGGTAAGATAATGGAGAACAAAATAGAAATAAGATCTTTCCCCAGTGAAAGGGAGCAGTTTTACAATTTCAGGATGCTAAGACAGTCGGTATAAAACTGAGACTTTATTACTTATTGGTCACAAATTTAAGACTGGGACAAGAGATTTGAACACTGCAATTCCAGGATGATATTACTAGAGCCCTGTGCTCCTCTTCTGAAATGCAAACAATAGCAGCTATCATGCATTCAGTACTTACTCTGCACAATGATAGTTCACATAAATGATCCCATGGAATCTTCAGACCAAGCCTAAAGATTAGGTATTAATAGCTCTATTATATGGACAATGAAACTGAGGCACAAGGTAACTGGCCCAAGACCAAACAGCTGGCGAGTGGCAGAGCTAGGATTCCAACCCAAGTCTGCTACCAAAACCTGACCTGAACAACACAACCTTTAAAAAAAATAAAGTTACACTGTGTCCCATGTCTAATGCTTTATTCAAAGAAAGTAACATTACTAAATGACTAATACTTTGATTTGAATGGGTTTATCGGATTGTTTCCTGTGATATAGCAGGTGATAGGGCTTTATGAGGACCCATTAAAAAAGAACAATAAATCAGAATGGAGAGATTAGGGTAGTGGGACACCAGTGACAAATTTCCTAATTTGGTCTCAGGATAATTGGGCAAGGATTATCACTTTGTGCCTTTATATTTTGGCACAGACCAGACTTCTGAAATGTTTTAGTGCCTGCATTCTTCTCCTTTATTGTATTCCCTTGTTTTCAATGAAATTCTATCTGCTGCAAATACATATTTCTGGAACACACATTTTGGATTTTTTTTTTCTAAATGGGCCTTATTTGGCTAAGCAAAGGAAATCCTCTATTTCTCAGCAAGCCTGGAGGGCCTTAAGCCTTTGCACCTATTGTTTTCTATTACCCTAATTATAGGTGCCTGGGTTGCTAAGCTGAAGGGAATGTAGTTAGGACTGGAACATTCCAAGATGGGGCTCATCACGTAGGTTTTCAGAAAAGGTTGCCTGCAGCTCACAGTAGCTACAACTAACTGTCTTTGTTCCTCATTCTTTATATAAAATAAGGGTATTGTATCATGAGTATCATATGAAACAGATTGGGCTATTAGCCATCTCTTGGCTAAATCCAAGGTTTAAGATCATGTATTGTTGGGGGTACTGCCTTTAATAACAGAAATTCAATTACTCTTTGGTTTCACGTTCTCTGCACGTTCCTGACTTTTTGCTCGAAAGTGATGTTACCATTTTGTCCTTCAAGTTATGCTTTCCAAGCCAGGTATGTTTTAATGCATGCTTCCAAGGACAAAAATTTTTGGAAGCCAGTTTTGTGTCTTTCAAACTCAGTAAATGTGAACTGATGATAGTCAACTTAAAAACAGCATGAACCATTATAGTGAACAAATGCAAATATCACTGCTCTTGAATAAGACCTCGCTTTCTCAGATACAAGCTCCAAAAAGCTTAGGGTAGGACAAGCTAAAGTCAATGAATGACACGTATAAGTTTCAGTTATTGTTCATTCAAAATTAATTAATGTTCAAGTCTATAAGAAGACAAATCATCAGTAATTTCCCAGTTCTGGGATGTGATGTCAATAAGGTCATCTGTGTGACAGAAGTTCCTGCCAATTCTGTTTTTCTTTGGAGTTGTAGTCAGAAGCCAGTGCAGATGGTTGTTGAGAGTGTCTTTTCTTTTTCTCTGTCCCAGTCTCTACCTCTTCCTTTTCTCATTATTTGCAGCAGCTGCAACTGGAGACCATTTGTGACAAATGCTAACAGAGTGTGTGAACAAATGCTAACAGAGTGTGCCTTTGATTTATAGGAAGGGACAATTCCCATTTCTGAGGAGCACAATGGGTGAAACAGGAACACAAACCAGCTAGAACACAAATCCAGGCCCTTGCAGTAAGAGTGGGCCATTATGACAGACACTGTTTTGCAACTGAATGCTGTTGCTACAGCTATGCTTTTCACCTTAGTTTCATGTCCCTCTACCATACTTTGTGGCTGTGTGTGTATGTGCATGCATGCATATGTGTGTTTGTGTATGAGTGTTTGGTATGTGGTGGAGGCTAAAGAATCCTGAAGAATGGAGTTCAGGTTTCAGTCACCTTGATGAGTTGGTGTCAGTCAGCTCTAACAGGGATCAATCAGAGTGCACAAAGGATAGTGTCACATGGTCAGCTGAAAACCCTTTGAGATAGGTCAACTCAGAGGTGCGGGTATTGTTTTTAAGGGTATCAATCTTTGCTTTTGGCTATAGGTAGATGTAGTCTCTTTTCCCAGAAAGCTCTGTGCCTTTCAAAACAGAATACTAGCATTCTCCTTGCTTTCCGGTGCTTGCTGCCTTGTGGCTTCTTACTCATTCATTTTACTAGTATTGATTTTATACTCTGCCTTCCAGCCTTCATTTATTGTCATAACCTACCAAAGCTCCAGAAAACAGGCAGGCTCTTGCAGAAATCTTAAAGAAAATTAAATGAAGTATCTGGGAATGTCAGCAGAGAGAATTAGTGAGAACCCCTTAAGGGACCTCAGTGTGTTCTAGGCAACTAAGTGTAGATGCCTTGGTGGAAGCACATGTCATCCATTCACCCTACCTATTTGTATAGCAGCGTATGTTAAAGCAGAGTGGTAAAGGGAGATTATTGGAATAAAGATCAGGAGACTAAGGTGTTGACTTCTGTGCTGCTATTAGTTTGTCTCTGTTATCTGAGGTAAGGCTTTTGGCTTGAATGACTAGAAGCATGGACTACCTTTTAGCAAAAAAAATGGAGAAGACTCATTGTAGATGGAGCAGGAGGATTTGAGGTAATGATTAAGGTTTCAATTTTGGGTACTTTAAAATTTAACATTCAAGTAGAGATATTAAAGTAGGCCATTGACTATATCAGTATGGAATTTAGGAAAGATTCTTGAACTGGAACTGTATATCTCAGATTTATGACATAGATAATTAGAGGAGGTTACCAATGGAGTGAGTATATATAGAGAAGCAGGCAAAGGACTGGGCTGTGAGGCACTCCAATGCTAAGAGATCAGAGAGATGAAGAATAACCCATATTAGGCCAAACAAGAATGGCTGCAAGGTAAATTTGATCCCTGGATTAGACCAAGAGTTGGGAAAATTCACAGGAGTTCAGAACTAGGAGGGATCACAGGGAATATCTCTTTCAATCAAGAATGCTAAACTAAGAAATAGGAGACCTGGGTTGTAGTCCTGAATTTATGCTTAGGTGAGCGACCTTGAAAAATCACTTAACTACTCTAGGTTTCCATTTTGTACCTAGAAAGAAAGACACTAAGACCAGATGATCTCCAAGGTTTACAATTCATGATTCTGTATCATTTTTGAAGCCCAGAGAGAGGGGAGATGTGATTTGACCAACAGTCTGGCATTAGACCAGTTTGTCTTCTACACGCTTGATGTTAAACCCTAAATGCATATTAGACTCCCTGCAGAACTTTTAGTAGTACTGATTACTGGGTCCCAAACCTAGTGTCTCATTTTGTTTGTCTGGGTTGGGTTTGGCAATGGTATTTTTGACACTCTTTGGATAATTCTAATGTGCAGGCAAGTTTGAAAACCCTCTTCTCTACATTAACCTATGTAGAGAAGAAAATGGCATTACTGCCATTAAGGCATGGCAGTGTCCTGTTAGCTGGTACAACTCTCTGCATCTTGTATTTCCACCACAAAAATGACTCACTCAATTACAAATCCTTTAATTCAGATGAATGTTCTCACATGAGGATAGCTTTCTAGACCTTGTAAAACCAAAGTAGTAAGTATCAGTTTTCCCTGAAGCTCAGTTAAATGGCACAACCATAGCTTTCTTGAACTCCATGCTAGAGGTGAAATGTTATGGAAAACCATGAAGTCATAGCTGGTGTAGGGGGAAGGAGGGTGGGATTGTGCCCTCTTCTTTCCTACCTTTATGGGAAAAAAGATACAAGGTTTGTCCCAAAAATAAACTTACAGTGTTAATGAGGAGTGTATCAGGCATAGTACACAAATGCTATTGCTTTTACCATATTTATAAAGCATGCATAGTCATGATGTCCACTGTAGTAGCCTTACTGCATAGTAGTGGCTTGTCACCAAGGCTTTTCTACTTTGCACACCAATAAGATACAAAGTTTCTTGATTGAACCCACATTATCTATATACTACAACATTTTGCTCTGTATTTGTGGATGTGTATGTGTTAGTATGCATGTCTACATGTGTGGGAGACACTATGTGTTTAAAACTGTATTCTTCTGTTCACTTTCTCCGGGGAGCATGTGTCTAGAAGAATAGCCTTGTTAAACTAAGACAGGAGAAGACATGGATTGTGGATGCACATTATTTACAGTCTCACCACACACACCTACCACTCTAGTAGTGCCAGCAAAGTGATTTTACCATGCATACTGCATCCGTAATTAACCTGGTAAATAATCCGTTGAGTGCCTCTTGTCCATTCCATACATGTTATTTTAGTGCCCCTTATAACTCTAAATTACTTTCTTTGTTTAGGGACATAAAAATATATTGTGTATGACTTGGTTTGCTTATAAAATCGTCATTTTTGATGTATTTAAACATGTGAAGGACTGGGGGAGAAAAACAGAAAAATTCAGGTGAGAAACCAAGCAAGTCCTCTGAAATATTTTTTTCCTTCTTGGTCTTCATAGCTCTCCTCCACTCAGATGTGCATCCCATTATAATGAACACAGAGTTGGAATACACTCTGAGATTACTCTAGGGTGACTAGAGCTCAAGATAATTATAATTTTTAAAAATAGGTTTCACCATTGTTTAGAACCATCTACAATTCAATTTACCTTATCACGCAAGCCATGAATAGTACTATGAAAGAAAATGGATGGGCTAGTGCTGCCAGCCTGGTTAAGCATTCCAGAAATATGCAGTTTTATGGATTCAGCCAGTTGATAAAGACAGATGGAAATGGAATTTCAGAATATGTAATCCTGGACACCAACAAGAAGGAATGGGAACTCCATAGTACTTACACTGTGGACATGGAAACGGAGCTATGGTTCAGAGAGACTCCCATTCACTTCCCTGGGGTTAAGCTCCCTTGAGTAGATGCAAAATGCTGGTTTGCAGAAAGGAAGGCCTGCTAAGGAGGTAATGAGAAATCACTGGTAGTCAATTTGCTTTATTTGGGTTACAAAGGAACCTCTTTAGGGGAAAGCATATTTTCATATTGGAACACTCATAGAATCAACCATTTGCATTCAGATGACATAAATATCTTGGCACCCTATGTAGTGAATTTAAGATAATAAGGACAATGAGAGGTACTTCTCAGTCTTAAATAATCACCCATAATTTAAAAGCTTCCCCTGCTTGTTTTTTTTATTTAAAATCTTATTTTTTATTTACAGCTTATATTCAATATTATTTTTCATTAGTTTCTGGTGTACAGCGTAATGTTTAGGCAATCATATACTTTACCAAGTAGTCCACCTGATATTTCAAGTGATATTTCAAGTGCCACCTGGCACCATACAGTTATTACAATATTATTGACTGCATTCCCTATGCTGTACTTTTCATCTCATGACTATTACATAGCTACCAATTTGTAGTTCTTAATCCCTTCAACTTTTTCATTCATTCCCCAAGCCACCCTTCCATCTGGCAACCCTGAGTCTGTTCTCTGTATCCCCTAGTTGTTTTAAGAATCCCACTCCCAGAGTGTTTACTCTAATTAAGAGAAAGGCATGGGACTTCTCCTTGATCTTTTGTAGGCTGCTATTTCTCCCCCTGCTAGAAAGATCATCTATCCTTCCCTTGATATATCCAAATCCTGTCGATCAGGTTCTAGCACATAAATACCATATCTACACCCTCTCCTCTCTGAAATCCCATTGAACTAAAAGTCCGTACCTCACAACTTAGCACAAAATTGGCTTCCAGTTTTTTCTTGTATATTGATTGTGTCTCCCCCGCCCCAAATAGACTGCTCCCTGAGGGCAGGGAACATAGCTAATAATTCTTATGCTCTCCAACTGCCTGACACAGTTAGCATTCAATAAATACTTGCAGTTTGATTGATGGAACTCTTCTGGCCTGAAGAAGAGGGGAAACTCCATCAAATCCCTGAGAGCCAGAGGGGAACTTTGGAAGGATCCATATTTTTGTTTTCTAAGTGTATGACACAACCTCCTAAAACAAAATGTGTATATTTGAAATAGACTTTCATTTCTATTTTGCTTTCATATGACATACTCAGCTACCTCTTTACTCGTCATCATATATTTCCCCCCTGAAATGTTAATAATCCATGCAAATATTTAGATTTTCCAGAGGCCAAGTTATATCCTGATGAAAACACTAATTGTCAAAGCTGGACTCACCCTTGATGGACAAGTGCTATATTTTTCATCAAAAACTCATGAGGTTGCCCTGGCCAGGTAGCTCAGTTGGTTAGAGTGTTGTCCCAATACTCCAAGGTTGTGGGTTCTCTCCCTGGTCAGGGCACATATGAAAATCAACCAATGAATTCATAACTAAATGTAATAACAAATAGATCTCTCTCTCTCTCTAATCAATAAATAAATTTTAAAAAACCTCACTAGGTCTATGGGTTCAGGTGAATTAAAAAGATCTTTCATTTTATCAAGGCAACATAATACTTAGCCTTCACAAGTGAGCTAACATATTTATTCTGAAGAACTCTATTGCTGTCTAACTTAAAATAAGATACTCAAAGTTTTCCACCCATGGACTTTTTCCTCCAAAGGAATACCCAGATCAGCTTTAATCCGTGTGATTTGTTATTGTCAGGGTGGTGAGTGGTTTTGCTTCAGAATAGTGAAACTGCTTTCTGTGTCTATAAAGTCAACAAGACAGACTGTGCTGTAGAAAAATGGTAGTTGTGGCTTGATTTTAGAGTCAATCACCAGAAAGCATCAGGAGTTGCTCTGTGGTGCCTTTTATTTACAGCCTCTCTCTGATAATGCCATTCTTCCTCTTCCTCTTGCTCTCTACAGGTTTCAACCCTGCCTTTGCCGTGATGGCCTGCCTTCCTTTGCTGATAGCCCTGCTGTCTATTAATGGATTTACTTACTTTATAAAGTACATTTTTGTTTGTTTTTGTATCTAAAAATATAAGCCCATAATAACCTTGTTAATATTGATTTCCAGGAAATCATGTTGCAGTGCGATTGCCTCATTACATGACCCAATGATTTTCTTTTTTCCATAGTGATTTACCATCCTTACTAGCCCGGTTTAGGGTGAAGTGTTTTCATGATGTCAAGAATAATTTCCTCAGCTGTGTTGTCAGTGTTATTGCCTGTGAGTAAATCTGGATCTCAATGCTATCATAAAATAAGAGAACTGGTACTTTAGGGCTTATCTGCTCCTTATCTGTGCTCTTTTTTTGTACTGGCAGTATCTTCTATAACTATCTCCTTCCCTAAGTGGTATGGACTTGTAGGGAATGGAGTAGAGGTATATTAACAAGTTCCAAGTATTAGGCAGAATTAACTAGAACCCAGTATTTAGGGGTAGTGATACTAACTCACAAGACTGTAATGGGGATTAAATAAACTAAAGTCCCTAGAACAATACCTGACTCATAGTAGGTGCTCATCAAATGGCAAACCTCACCTCCTTCTCAAGCAGATGAGACTCTCCTGCTGATTGTTGGGAGTTCATAATCCTCACTTTCACTCTCATGACTTTTGCCCAAGGTATCATATTCCAGATTTTTACTGTCTTTCTTTCTTGGACCAAAGCTCTCCTAGGTAATCATTAACATCATCATTGTCACCATTCTTTGTCTTCCTCCCTCAGCTCCCTTAATAGGCGACCAACTATTCTCATAAACTAATTGAGGACCAGGGATAAATGGCTGAAGGTGGCTTAATGTGACACCCTCTTCTTATAATCTTTGCATTTTAACAGTTAGACCATCCCCCATACTAGGATGATTTAGGGAAAGTGAAGAATGAAATCAAACACAACTCTCCACTTTACACATTCCACCCAGCAAACCACACCTTTGTTATCTCTTTGTAAGGGTGGTTCTGTCAGCAATGTGATGCAAAATTGGTAGGGAATGGAATGCAGCTATTTTGGTGAATTTCAAGAAAGACTGTCTAAAGTGTATTGAGTACTTATATAAATTTGGACCAGGCACTAAATCTCTCTTGGCCAGAATTTTCTCATTTTAAAATGAATTGGTCTAGATGATCTTTAAGAGCCCTTCCAGCACTAATATTCTAATGACCATGAAATCCTGGATTGAAACTATAACAGGTATAGCTTTTAATGTTTAATATGTTGGCATTGCTGTGAAAAAACACTATGATCTATTCTCCCCATAATTTGAAACTTGGTAAAGCCACACAGAATAGTAGGTAACCTATGAATTCTTAAAACACACTTGATAAATGTTAATGGCAGATGGTACCAGAATGTTACTGGTGACATTAGACCTTGGTCCTTGAGTTTGGCTAAGAAACAATTCAGAGCCAAGAACTCTGACATAAGAAATTTGTTTAGAAAGTCACAGAGGTAGAAGAAATGAGCCAACTGGGCTGTGTTGTCTCAAGAAACAAGTTACAGAGGCAAAAGAAGTGCCCTTGGATCTCAGGAAAAAGAAAGGCAAAGAAAATGAGCCTGTGGGAAGGAGAGGGGGAAAGGTACGGGTGTGTTTCAGAGAGACTGCAAATTGGGTTCTTCATCTTAAGGGGTTTTATCTGTTTTCCAATGGCAGAGATTTTAGAGGAGGTCTCAGGGAAGGATCTTGATAGAATATTCACCAGCTTTCCAGGTGTGTCCTTTCAGGGTTGTGGTTTCTACTGATTGGTCAGCACCAGGGCAGGGGGTTATTAATCATTGCAGCTAGTTCTGATGTCAGCCACCATGTTGCTTCATTTGGTTTTGCTGCTTTACTGAGCCTGGGAAACACAGCTGAGGTCTAGATGTTATCTCTCATTCGACCAAAACACTGTCTCTGTGGTCAACAGACTCAAGGCTTTGTTCCTAAGATTATTTGATGTTGGCCAGAACCTCATTGTCCTGGGAGCTTAATGCTTACAAGAAGGGAAGGGCCTGTACAGGAGTTGTAAGAGGATTTTCTCCAGGCCCCTTGTTCTTCCTCTAATGGGGTCTACCACATGACTAGTGACATGCCAGGGAAGGAAAGGTTAGGGGAGGCTCCGAACCTAATTACCAGTGATATGAAAGGTTAAGGGGTCTAAACCTCATGATTGGTGAAATGCTATGGGAGGAAAGGTCACCCTGGGAGCAAGGTCCCACCCTATAATACCTGTTTCCCTAATTTTGCTAATTGTCTAGCTACCTACTATATCAATAAAGACGTTACTTCAGAGGAAGTATTTTCATTTCTGTGGCTGTGATATATTCCTACTCACAACAGAAATTTAATGTCTTTAATTTAGCTGCTGCCAAAGAATAAAGTATTTAATTAAGATCATTAGCTACTTAGTTAAAATAAATTTCATTCAATCAATAAGCTTCCCCCTTTAGGGAAATTTGAGGAGAATAGGCTCTGACCACCCAATGCCAAAACATCCCATAGTAAGGTGGAAAATGGAATCACTCAGCTGTTGGTGTTAGTTGTTAATCCCCCCTCAAATGCCTGGTCTCACTGGTCTTTCCCATGGAATGAACTGGTTCTTTGGGTTTAGAGTGAGTCCAATCTACAGTTCTTGGTAAAGGAAGGAAAAAAAGAAAAAAAAAACATGGAGTTGGGGGATTTGTTTTGTAGTTTGTGGCTGAAAGGCAGAGAAGATTGGAGAGGAAACTGATTGGAGAGGGACATGATTAGAGATGAAAATGATTGGAGAGGAAAATGAGTTTGAGACAATTGGTACTTGAAGTGGTCACCAAAAACTCAGAGATGGGACAAAAGCACATCATTTTTCACAGTCACTTGTTTCTTGGTTCTTCAGCTAACAAAGCACAAAAGATGCCCTCTCTTTGCTGCCGACCTCCTTCTCTCTGCCTACAGGGCTGCAATCATAAGAGCTGAGTGGCTGATGAGTTTCTGTAATAGATCTTGATTACTTGCAGGAGAGTGACTCTCTGTTCCTTCATTTTCTGTGTTTTGATTGTTCATATTTTTTTTTCAGAAAGACTTGCAAAGAACCCAACCACCCCAAAACAAAGGATTCTTTGAACTCCTCCTTTTTACCTCATCTGAAACAGATTGCCTCTCCTTGCTATAAGGCTCTCCTGTGCTTCATAATATTAATGATCATAATGATAATAATGAGCCCTTATACTTTTCATAGTGCTTCATGCTTTTCAAAGCACTTTCACATACATTATTTAATTTGCTTTTCAAAACAACTATATAAAAGCAGATAATGCAAGGACAATTATCTCTCTAAATAGATGAGGACACTAAGGCATGAAGAGGTTAAATTATTTACCCAAGCTCCTCTGGCTAATTAATGACAGAATCTGAACTATATCCCAGGTCTTTGGATTGTGAGTCCAGTTCTTTCTTCTTGAGTGTATTCTGTAGCATGATTATTTTGACAGGTGTGCTTGCTTTAAGACAATTCACTACACATAAGAAACAGATAAGTTAGGGAGTGATGCTTTACTTTGCCAAACAATTGATGGGGTCTACCCAAAAATTCACACATAGCTCTTTTAATTTTCTCTGCAGGGCAGCAGCTCCTACAGTGATAAGGGACATATTTGTTGGCAGACAATAGAAAGATACTGTCTGTTTACAAACCAGTGGAATCACTGAGAAAAACAGACTAGATTGTTGGTACTTAAAGCTTCAATGACATTGTAGATTTCTTTTACTTTTTTAAAAAATTTTATTTTAATTTATTTTTTCAAATACATTTGTCTCTGCCTACCCCCCACCACTTTCCCTTGCCCCTCTCTCCTTCCCTCCTTCAGCTCTTCCCCTTTGGTTTTGTCCATGAGTCCTTGCTATATGTTCCTTGACTTTCCCCTTCCCTTCCTTTTCCCTGCCCCCCCTCCCTCCATCCCTCTTGTCTCTGCTAGTTTCTTTTCCTTTCAGTGTTGCTGGTATTATTTTCCTTGCATCTTTGTATTGTCGGTTAGGTCCCACTTATAGGTGAGATCATATGGTATTTGTCTTTCGCCCCCTGGCTTATTTTGCTTAGCATAATGCTCTCCAGTTCCATCCATGCTGTTGCGAAGTTTAGTAGTTCTTTTTTTTTACTTTCTGCTGCGTAATATTCCATTGTGTATATGTACCATGATTTTTTGATCCAATCATCTACAGACGGACATTTAGGTTGCTCCCAACACTTGGCTATTGTAAATTGTGCTGCTATGAACGTTGGGGAGCATAGATTCTTTTGTATTGGTGTTTTGGTATTCTTAGGGTATAGTCCCAGCAGGGGAATCACTGGATCCAAAGGCAGTTCCATTTTCAGCTTTCTGAGGAAATTCCACATTGCTTTCGACAGTGGCTGCAACAGTCTGCATTCCCACCAACAGTGGACTAGGGTTCCCACTTCTCCACAGCCTCGCCAGCTCCTGTTGTTTGTGGATCTGTTTATGATGGCCATTCTGAACGGTGTGAGGTGGTACCTCATGGTGCTTTTGATCTGCATTTCTCTGATGGCTAGTGATGCTGAGCATCCTTTCAAATGCCTCTGGGCCTTCTGTATCTCCTCCTTGGAAAAGCGTCTGCCCAGGTCCTTTGCCCACTTTTTGATTGGATCGTTTGTCTTCTTGGAGTGGAGTCGAGTGAGTTCTTTATATATCTTGGGGATCAAACCTCTATCTGATGTATGATTAGCAAATATATTTTCCCATATGGTTGGCTCCCTTTTCATTTTGCTGATGTTTTCTTTAGCCATGCAGAAGCTTCTTATTTTGATGAGGTCCCACTTGTTTATTCTTTCCTTTATGTCCCTTGCTTTAGGAGACATATCAGTGAAAAAATTGCTGCGTGGGATATCTGAGAGTTTCCTGCCAATGTTCTCCTCGAGGAATTTTATGGTGTTGCGAGTTATATTTAAGTCTTTTATCCATCTTGAGTTTATTTTTGTGTATGGTGTCAGCTGATGATCCAATTTCAATTTTTTGCATGTAGTCGTCCAGCT